CAGAAGGCCTTTATAGAACGGGCGAGTGAAGAACGCGTCCAGCAGGTACTGATGAACCAGAGCCAGACCCAGAATCCGCCCGCTGAACCGAAACCTGGACCCAGACAGAACCAGAACAAACACCAGGATTCTCAGAACAAACATGAAGCTGCTGGTCGCAGCAGACAGGAAGTACTGACAGGAAGTCACCATTCGTGGTGGTTGTCCACGAAGGCGGACATGGGGCTGATCTGGACCGTGTACGTGTCATTGGCCGAATACTCGAATAAACCGTAGTACGGGTTGAAGAGCTCTCTGGACACCAGGAAGAAGAACTCTCTGGACGGCCCGCTGTAGTCCAGCCTGAAACACACCCGGAGTTTCTCAGGGCGCGCTGCTCGGCCCACTCTCATTCAGCAGAACCAAACCTCCCACCATCAGGCATCGGCTTCCTCACCCGTCCTCGCCGACGAAGCTGACGTAGAGTTTACTCCTCTGCAGGTCTTTACGGGAATAACACATGATCTGGTTGAAGGCGTCTTCCAGCAGGTGATCTCTGCGGATGATGAGCCTGGAGACAAACAGGAAGAATAAAACATCGGTAAAATGAAATACAGAAAAATAAGACAGAATACTAAACATAAGTATTAGTATTCTAATACTTACTGTCCTTCTAATACTGTCATTTATACCAAAAATACATTCTGTTTGGACTTTTCAAACACAAAACAAGAATCTAAGAGGCAGAGTTCCTTCAATATGAAAAGAGCCGAGATAAAGTTTGTAAGTTCACCAGAATCAGTTGATCATATTTTTAAAATGACCACCGTGGTCTAGTTAAAGTTCATGTCAATGAGAAAAAACCTGTTATAATTCCTGCCTGAGCATCTAGATGTTCAATATCCAGTTCAGATGCTTTATTGATCAAATGTTGTGAAAGATTCAGCAATAAGTGGGTCTAAAACTGTGAATCTGTCCGGAATCACATTTTATCATAGGTCTTAAATTGCAATCAGTGACCTGTAAATATGCTCATTCTTTATGTCTTTGGTTGGTATTTTATTTGAGACCATCTGGTTACTTTCCCAGCTCGTGTAAAAACATGAATAATCATATTAAATGATGAATCAGGCACTAGCTGTGTATTTTTATGACGTACTTGACTTTCCCCGGTCCCTGGCCGTAGCCCTTCGTCTCCAGCTTCCGGTAGAAGTTCCTCAGTTTCGCCTCAAAGTCTCTCTTGTACGGAGCGGGCGCTCGCGCGTTGGCGCGCGGCGTTCCTGCAACGAACGGGACGAAAGTCCAGGAGGGCAGAGACAGGAGAGCGTTAGCAGATTCCAACCGAATCACCGCAGTGCAATAAAAACCCTGAATGCAGGTTAATCCTGGATGAGCTTCAGACTCATCAGCTCTTCAGTTCAACAGCAGCAAACATCCAACAAACCAAATAAGTTTGATTGTTTCACATAATTTAATCTGAGGATGAATGAATCTGCCTGGAAGGTGTTTGATTTTTCTTCACAAGATAATCCTGGGAAAATTCAAGCATTTTCTGTTAACTCTGTATTTCTGCTCAGTTTGACTAAAACTAAACGCATAATAAGGTTATAAAACGTAAATATATAATCAGCAGCTCCTACAAGGTCCTGCTTGTAAATACTTTGAGTTTAGACAAGAGAAAAAATGATGGTTCATTTTCCATAGATGAATGAACAACAACAGTTCATTTTAGATAACACAGTTTCAAACTCCATATTTAGTAAGTAAGCTAAATATTTTGTTCAGCTCTCTAAGTAAATATTTACTGAAAAGTTGCTAAATGTAGCAGCGTACAGCCTCAGCACTTGTTGGCTCCGCCCCTCAGCACCTGTTGGCTCCGCCCACTTGGCTGCACCATTCTGGGGGCGGGGCTTTGCTTTCACACAGTTTTCAGTCTGGAGGTTTGATCGGGACGTTTTAACGTATTTACAGAACGTCTGGCTTTATATTACTTTCTGAACAAACAAAACAATTCATATCGAAATAATCAAAACTTTTTATTGCTGTTGTTTAATAAACCTGTGAATGCAATAAAGTGTGAGCAAACAGACAGATTCACCTGGAGAGCTCTGAGGAGAAGACAGGCTGTAACCTGGGTGGAGCAACGGCGGCACGTATGACATCACTTCCTCCTCAAACAGGCTAGAGGCAAAGCATGAGAGGTCAAAGGTCAGAAATGAGGCAGCCTAAATTCAGCCGCTCAGCAGAACGGAGCGGACTGACGGCGGATCGAATCCAAACATGGCGGACTGATGAGCTTAAATCTGAACGAAACTGCAGAAAGATGGTGATGAACGAGTCAATCAGGAAGCTTAAGTTGCTACGCAGGACGAGACGCTCAGCTGTTAATAACAGAAACATCATGCCAGCTGTTAATAACAGAAACATCATGCCAGCTGTTAATAACAGAAACATCATGCCAGCTGTTAATAACAGAAACATCATGTCAGCTGTTAATAACAGAAACATCATGCCAGCTGTTAATAACAGAAACATCATGTCAGCTGTTAATAACAGAAACATCATGCCAGCTGTTAATAACAGAAACATCATGCCAGCTGTTAATAACAGAAACATCATGTCAGCTGTTAATAACAGAAACATCATGCCAGCTGTTAATAACAGAAACATCATGTCAGCTGTTAATAACAGAAACATCATGCCAGCTGTTAATAACAGAAACATCATGCCAGCTGTTAATAACAAAAACATCATGCCATCTGTTAATAACAGAAACATCATGCCAGCTGTTAATAACAGAAACATCATGCCAGCTGTTAATAACAGAAACATCATGCCAGCTGTTAATAACAGAAAACATCATGCCAGCTGTTAATAACAAAAACATCATGCCAGCTGTTAATAACAGAAACATCATGCCAGCTGTTAATAACAGAAACATCACGCCAGCTGTTAATAACAGAAACATCATGCCAGCTGTTAATAACAGAAACATCATGCCATCTGTTAATAACAAAAACATCATGCCAGCTGTTAATAACAGAAACATCATGCCAGCTGTTAATAACAGAAACATCATGCCAGCTGTTAATAACAAAAACATCATGCCAGCTGTTAATAACAGAAACATCATGCCAGCTGTTAATAACAGAAACATCATGCCAGCTGTTAATAACAGAAACATCATGCCAGCTGTTAATAACAAAAACATCATGCCAGCTGTTAATAACAGAAACATCATGCCAGCTGTTAATAACAGAAACATCATGCCAGCTGTTAATAACAGAAACATCATGCCAGCTGTTAATAACAAAAACATCATGCCAGCTGTTAATAACAGAAACATCATGCCAGCTGTTAATAACAGAAACATCATGCCAGCTGTTAATAACAAAAACATCATGCCAGCTGTTAATAACAGAAACATCATGCCATCTGTTAATAACAAAAACATCATGCCAGCTGTTAATAACAGAAACATCATGCCATCTGTTAATAACAAAAACATCATGCCAGCTGTTAATAACAGAAACATCATGCCAGCTGTTAATAACAAAACATCATGCCAGCTGTTAATAACAAAAACATCATGCCAGCTGTTAATAACAGAAACATCATGCCAGCTGTTAATAACAGAAACATCATGCCAGCTGTTAATAAACAGAAACATCATGCCAGCTGTTAATAACAGAACATCATGCCAGCTGTTAATAACAAAAACATCATGCCAGCTGTTAATAACAGAAACATCATGCCAGCTGTTAATAACAGAAACATCATGCCATCTGTTAATAACAAAAACATCATGCCAGCTGTTAATAACAGAAACATCATGCCAGCTGTTAATAACAGAAACATCATGCCAGCTGTTAATAACAAAAACATCATGCCAGCTGTTAATAACAAAAACATCATGCCAGCTGTTAATAACAAAAACATCATGCCAGCTGTTAATAACAAAAACATCATGCCAGCTGTTAATAACAAAAACATCATGCCAGCTGTTAATAACAGAAACATCATGCCAGCTGTTAATAACAAAAACATCATGCCAGCTGTTAATAACAGAAACATCATGCCAGCTGTTAATAACAAAAACATCATGCCAGCTGTTAATAACAGAAACATCATGCCAGCTGTTAATAACAGAAACATCATGCCAGCTGTTAATAACAGAAACATCATGCCAGCTGTTAATAACAGAAACATCATGCCAGCTGTTAATAACAGAAACATCATGCCAGCTGTTAATAACAGAAACATCATGCCAGCTGTTAATAACAGAAACATCATGCCAGCTGTTAATAACAGAAACATCATGCCAGCTGTTAATAACAGAAACATCATGCCAGCTGTTAATAACAGAAACATCATGCCAGCTGTTAATAACAGAAACATCATGCCAGCTGTTAATAACAGAAACATCATGTCAGCTGTTAATAACAGAAACATCATGCCAGCTGTTAATAACAGAAACATCATGCCAGCTGTTAATAACAGAAACATCATGTCAGCTGTTAATAACAGAAACATCATGCCAGCTGTTAATAACAGAAACATCATGTCAGCTGTTAATAACAGAAACATCATGCCAGCTGTTAATAACAGAAACATCATGCCAGCTGTTAATAACAGAAACATCATGCCATCTGTTAATAACAGAAACATCATGCCAGCTGTTAATAACAGAAACATCATGCCAGCTGTTAATAACAAAAACATCATGCCAGCTGTTAATAACAGAAACATCATGCCAGCTGTTAATAACAGAAACATCATGCCAGCTGTTAATAACAGAAACATCATGCCATCTGTTAATAACAAAAACATCATGCCAGCTGTTAATAACAGAAACATCATGCCAGCTGTTAATAACAAAAACATCATGCCAGCTGTTAATAACAGAAACATCATGCCAGCTGTTAATAACAGAAACATCATGCCAGCTGTTAATAACAGAAACATCACGCCAGCTGTTAATAACAGAAACATCATGCCAGCTGTTAATAACAGAAACATCATGCCATCTGTTAATAACAAAAACATCATGCCAGCTGTTAATAACAGAAACATCATGCCAGCTGTTAATAACAGAAACATCATGCCATCTGTTAATAACAAAAACATCATGCCAGCTGTTAATAACAGAAACATCATGCCAGCTGTTAATAACAGAAACATCATGCCAGCTGTTAATAACAGAAACATCATGCCAGCTGTTAATAACAGAAACATCATGCCAGCTGTTAATAACAGAAACATCATGCCAGCTGTTAATAACAGAAACATCATGCCAGCTGTTAATAACAGAAACATCATGCCAGCTGTTAATAACAGAAACATCATGCCAGCTGTTAATAACAGAAACATCATGCCAGCTGTTAATAACAGAAACATCATGCCAGCTGTCACACCTAAATCACATCAAATTCAGGACTTTTTCATGCAACCTTGACAGAAATTGAGAAAAGTTAACTCTTGTCTCAGTGGCGTCCCGTGTGTTGGGTTTCACCCTGAGGAGAGACGACTCGCTGCTGATCATCGTTCCCCTTCCGTTGACTCCATCGCCCATTAGACACAAAACATTAGCTAGCTAGCTAGCAAGGCTATGTTAGCAGCTATTAGCGGTAGCTTCAATGACCTCAATGAAGATGTCGGTGAAAAAGCCAAACTTTTGATTGTCTCATGAGAAATAAACGACAAATGAGATCAAATTGTTCTGTCATGACAATGAGCAGTTGGTCTCAGTTTTAGATCCATGAGCTAAAGTCTTTCTAACGATGCGTGAACCCGGTAAATGGTTCCAGAACCAGACTGGATCACAGATCGGACCTCACCTGAGCAGCATGACGAGGTCGGCGTCGCTGGACAGACGGGCGAGTCCGTTGACGCCCTCGCTGCGGATGAACTGAACCTTCTCCCTGCAGACACACATGGGGTTAAACAGGCAGGGATCCGGCAGGGTCAAAGGTCAAAGGTTGTGCTCCGGTTACTTTAGGGAGTGGTTCCTGGCTAACTCGGGCTGCCGCTCCTGCAGGACCTCAAAGATGTTGGGTTGGCGTAGAAAAGCCACTATCTTGTCGTTGTAAGCTGGATGTAAAGCAGAGAAAGAGTCCAGGTGCGTGACCAGGTGTGTGTTCTGTCCAGAACTGGACCCGGCCCGGCGGACTCACCCACAGGAACCACGTCGTGATACGGGCTGCGGCTGGACCCGCTGAAGGTGCTGGAGGGCCGGGGCATGGCGGGCAGGCCGCTCTGCCGTGAGTCATCCACCACCTGAGAGAGAGCGGCGGTTCAGGACCCGACCCAACCACCAAGGTCCACCTGCTTGGTTCTGGTTACCAGCATCTAACGAGCTGCTCAGATTCTTCCATCAGGTTTGGATCGGATCGGATCGGCAGTTTGCTGAAAAGCTCAGACGACTAGATTATTATTCTGTTATTCTTTCTGATTACCAAACTGCATCTCAAGGTGATCGTAGCGGATCTGGTCCGCTCCGATCTAAACATTCCACATGTTGGATCGTCTCGGTCCGATGTCACGATGTTGGATGTTAAATGTGATGTCAGCCAATCAGAAAGCGCGCTGACGGAAACATGGAGGGAAATCCTAAACACTGAAAACAAAACGATGATCGTCTGGTTTATTTCTGTTAAACGTCGTCCATTAACTACCGTCGGCGCTTCTTCATCGTCGGCCATGTTTTGTGATATTTCCTGTCTGAATGTTGGAGAGTGAGGTTTGTTCCGCCGCAAAACTGGTTAAACTCCGGCTGTGTGAACCAGGCATAAATTGACCTCGTTGTTCATAAACTGATATGAAATTAATTTCCCCTGAAAACGTTCAGTAAAATCTCAGCCGGAGTCTAAATGAAAACAAAACGTCCTTCAGAAGGTTTGATCAAAGACTGCAGGACCGTTTAGCTTGTTGACTAACCTCCAGGAAAACACACTGGACAAAGGTTTGACCTTTAACCTTACAGCCTCTCCAGGACTGATCTGACCTCTACGTGACCTCTGCGCCGGCCTCTTACCTCCCCGGCGCTGTGGCTCCGTTGGCGGCTCAGGTGCTGGCGGTGGGCCAGCAACCCGGTGGAGCGCGAGCTCTGCAGCGGCAGCCGGGGGTCGATGAAGGTCGTCGACCGACAGTTGTGATCCACAAAGAAAGGCTGCGGGTCAAACAAACAAACCCTGAGAGGCTGAGCTCCCGACGTCCTAGTCAAAGTCAGCAAGCTGGCATACCTTCCCAGTGTGGTCGTGCTTCATCTCCCAGCCGCGGGGGAGCTCCAGCTGCTTGTTGGCGAACATATTGAGGAAGGTCACGAGGTCGCGGTTGTGTTGGTAGCGCTCAAAGTAGTGAGCGTCCCGCCGCACCTTGCTGATCATGTGCTTCAGACAAGTGTTGCTCGTAAACATGCGGTAGGCACTCTGCACGAAACGCAACAGCAGCAACCTGAGATAACCTCGAATAACCTCAGGCGGCCCACATCAGGGTGGTGATCAACAGAGAACAGGTTCAGAAACAACCAATCAGAGGCAGAGACTCAGAACGGAGCCACTAACACTGAAAACCAGCAGATCAGACTTTACATCATGGAGCTATTATTCCCACAGGCACTTAACTGGATGGACTGGTTAAACTGGATGGACTGGTTAAACTGGATGGACTGGATGGACCGGTTGAACTGGATGGACTGGTTAAACTGGATGGACTGGATGGACCGGTTGAACTGGATGGACTGGTTGAACTGGATGGACTGGTTAAACTGGATGGACTGGATGGACTGGTTAAACTGGATGGACTGGATGGACAGGTTGAACCGGATGGACTGGTTAAACTGGATGGACTGGTTAAACTGGATGGACTGGTTGAACTGGGGGGAGCAGCTCAGAGCTTACAGGGTTTGAATGCAGCACGGTGAAGAAATCTGGGCTGCACAGGAACTTGGCGCTGGGCGACTGCAGCAGGAGGGAGAGGCGTGAACGGCTGCTGGAGTGAGCCACCGCGCTTTCTCTGCGATATTCTGCAACAGATTCAGGGAATGGTCAGAGAAACATCTGGACCAGTGGGAGGCCCCCAGTGGGAGGCCCCCAGTGGGAGGCCCCCAGTGGGAGGCCCCCAGTGGGAGGCACTCAGTGGGAGGCCCCCAGTGGGAGGCCCCCAGCTGCTGCGTCAGCGGAAACGGACCGGAGATGGAGTGAGGCATCAGCTCGCCCTCCGGCTCCGGCAGCTCAGCGGAGGATTCCTCTGGACGCTCGTTGCTGGTTATGGTCCTCCTGATGCTCTGGTATCTGTCAGAAACAAACCGCGGTGAAATTAAAAACATGAAGAGGGTCAGATTGTAAAGGGTTAGGATTATGAACTTTTTAATCTGTTTCCGTGTGGCTGGGAAACAATGAATCCTGCAGGCTCTTTCAAATATTCATCGAAAGAAAGACATTTCTCTCCAGACTCCAGTTTGATCTGGTCGTCAGTCGTGAACTTGACCTGGATGACGGTTTGCGTTGCCATGGTTACCTGCGGTTGAGCTGCTCCATCTGCTGGATGGAGTTGGAGCGGGTCATGCCCTGCGGGGCGGGCGGTCCGGTGGGCCGCTGCCACGTGGTCGTCCTGTTCACATGATCCACGAAGAAGATCCGGCCGTGGCTGTCGATCCGAGCCTCCCAGTCTGCGCAGAGGAGAGAGAAGGAAACGGTTAACAGATCCAGCAGCAACATGGTGGCTTACCAAATCAATTACAGCTGATTGATTGATTGATTGATATGCAGAACCCACCAGAACCTGACAACTTGAAACTGACAGCAGTTGGAACAGAACTCAGTGGTCCAGTTAAAGTACCAGCAAAGTTTAGTTTGTTTATGAAGAAAAGTAAAAAAACAGTCAGCAGGTAATGCTACGCATCGAGACGCAGAGACGCATCGAGACGCAGCGCTACGCATCGAGACGCAGCGCTACGCATCGAGATGCATCGAGACGCAGCGCTACGCATCGAGATGCATCGAGACGCATCGAGACGCAGCGCTACGCATCGAGACGCAGCGCTACGCATCGAGACGCAGAGACGCAGTGCAATGCGAAATGATTTGGTGTGATGCAGCAGGATGCAACATGATAGGACGAGATGCTGTGTGACGCTGCGCGGCTCGGCATGCAGACACACACACTCACTGGGGGCAGCGGCTCGTCCACCCTCTGGTATCGGTGGATGTCGTGGCGCACCGAGGGCAGCGATCGGACCGGATGGCCGTTAACCGGAGTGTCTGGAGGAAAACAGGTTGACTGGATTATTTCTGGGAGATTTTCACCGTCTGAGACCAGCAGGAGGCGCCGTACCTTCCTCCCTGTCTGTTTCCGTGGTATCCGCAGACCCCCCCTCCTCCCGAGTCTTGGTCTCCGCCACTTCCTGTCCGTCATCACCGCCGCCCACAGCCTGCAGGCTCCGCCTCCTCACGGCGACGCCCTCCTCCTCCTGCGGCGGCTCGCTGGCGGCCGGAGGATCAGCTTCGGCCTCGGAGGCCGCCGGTCTTCCTCCTGCCTCCTCATCCTCATCCTCATCATCATCCCTCGGTGGGGAGGTCGGCGGCGGGCCGGGCTCCCCGTCTCCTCCCGGGTCGATGGTCGTCGCCGCTCCTTCATCAGCTTCCTGCACACAGAACCACCTGGATCAGAACCAGTTGGACCAGCTGGACCAGTTGGGACCTTAAGAATAATGCTGGCTCCTGATTGGACGACACCTTTGGTGTCATCAGTAGCTTGTCGCTACAACATTTGAACGATTCTTTGAGAGGAACTGATTCATCAGACCCGGTTCCTGTTGGAGGACCAAACTCACCACAGCGGTTGCCATGGTAACCGCTCCACTGTCGGAGGAGGAGCCGGCGGTCTGAGGTGCTGTTGCCATGGAGAAGGAATCCATCTCTGACGTAGGGTCTTCGCCCGGCGCCCCCTCCAGTTCCAGAGCCTCCACAGCCTCTGGCAAAGCATCATGGGTAACAATGTGCTCCTCCTCCACCTCCAGGAAAACCTCCGGCTCCAAACCGTCGTCCGGCTCCAGATCCGGCTCTGCGCCCAGGGCGTCCCCAGGCCCCCCCTCCGCCCCCTGCAGCGAGAGCTCCGGTTCCACCAGGAACAGGTCGTCATCGTCGGGGCCGCCGCCGCCATCAGGAGGCTCTCCGTTCAGCAGCAGCGGCGACAGCGGAAGGGGCGGCAGCTCGTTGACGGCAGAGCGCTCCTCGTCCTCGTCGGAGTCGATGTGCAGGATGTCGCTGAGCCGGGTGTGCGTGGGGAAGCTGGAGCACAGCCTGGGTGAGGCGGCGCCCAGGGGCCTCTCACCGGGGCCCTTCGGGGCCTCGATGGCGTCCAGACCCTCGCTCAGCGACCGCTGGAAGATGGAGCGCTCACAAACCGCCGCCACCTCCACGAAGCGCGCCGGACGCACGGCGGGCAGCTCTTTCTCCGGCAGAGCGGCGGCCCCGCCTTCCCACAGGCCGTGGGGCCCCTGAGGGCCGGGGGGGAGAGGCCGGCGGACAGTACGCCTGGCAACGTGTGGGGAAGGTCCTCGTCGTCTGACGGCGTCCCCGGGGCGCCGTTCAGCGGTGACAGGCCGATGATGGAGTCTGGCGAGGCGCCTGCAGTGGGACAGAGGCTGGTGAGGACAGAGACAGGTGGGTGGAGTCAAAGGGTCACGAGGGTGGAGCCTGGCTCACCATCGGGCCCCGTGGACGTCAGCTCCACCCGGAACTGCAGCTGGCCGCTGACGTGTTCGGTGGGCAGGCGGCGGCACAACGGGAAGCTGACCGGCTGGACCCTGCGCAGGAAATGGGAAGTAGAAAACAAGAAAGAGAAAGTAGGAAACAGGAAGTAGGAAGTAGAAAACAAGAAGCAGGAAGTAGGAAACAGGAAGTAGGTATCACGATCCACATAGGCTCAGATATATACATACTCCCCACTCCTTCATCAGATTTCTCCTCCTCAGTTTCGCCTGTTTTCAGAATGATTTGTTTTGGTCTCTGTCCCTTTAATGCAAATAAGCTGCTGCTGGCTCCGCCCCTCATCTCCATGTTAACTGTACAACCGTCCGTCTGCAACCCAGAAGCAGAAGTTTAAACAGTTAAAACCTGCTCTGCCAGGGTCGCTAGGCAACGGGCTGGGCGGGGGTTGCTAGGCAACGGTGCAGCGCCACCTGATGCTGACGTCACAACCGAAGTTTTTGAAGCAGCCCGTTTTCCAGACACCAAAACCATAAATTTATTTCCAGAAAACGTTTGGATGTTTTTTCAAGCAGCAGAGACCAAAATGGAAAAATGGCCTGAATGAGAAGAGCTTCACTGGGCGGCCGCCAGGGTTCAGGTCAACATTCTCCTGACCTTTAGCCGGATTTGAACCGATGACACTGGGGTCTGGAGATGTTCAGGCTCTCGGTGACTTCCACTGGACTAATCAATGAGTGTGATGGTTCAAACTGGAACCAGTTTAATCAGTTTAAACTCTATGGCCTTCAGCTCCACTTGTTCAAACATTGAGCCGTATGTATTTGAGGTATGTGGTGTTCAGAGATCGGGTTTGAAGGAGCTGCCATGTTTGCGTGTCCTACCCTGGAATCTTCTCGATGAGCCGCTGCACAGGAATCGCCAGCTGACCCAGGAAACGCTTGATGATTGGACGACTTTTAGCAAACTTGTCCTTGACCTCGATGTACAGGATGTCCGTCATCAGCGCCACAAACGTGTATTTCTGTGAGGAACAAAGAGATGAGAGGAGGCGCCAGGGGGAGGCGCCAGGGGGAGGAGGAGACTCACCTCGCCGTGCCAGACGGGGTTGGTGGTGTTGGCGATAATGGCCGACCGGCGTTCCTGTCCGTGGTGGCTGAAGACCGGGAAGATGTTTCTCTTCCCAGGATGGATGGACATCTTCAGATACGGGTCCGGATTGAAAAACATGCCTTTCTTCAAGCCGGTGGAGCGCAGGTCTACAACGAAAACCAGAGTCTACATCCGGGTTCTAGAAACACGGAACTGGAGGAGAATGAAACCCAAACTGTCCCAACATGAGCTGCTTGAAATGAAGGGAAAATTCAGTTAAATAAATAAAGTTGCAGTTAACAACTAGCAGCAATAATTCAGCCAAACATCTAAAGTCGTTTTCTCACCATATTATTCATTCACTCATAAATGTCACAGTTTCAAACTAAATGTTTAGTTTGAAGTAAAATATTTTGCTTCAAACTGAATAAGTTTAAGCTAAACATTTAAGTTGCTAACTGTGCTGGAGCTATTTAGTAGCTTATTTAGCTCGATGCTAAACAGTTAGCTTAGAGCTAGCTAGTTTGAGGTTCTGAACGTTTTGCTCTGAGCTAAATGTTTAGCTTGTTACCTACATGTTTAGTTTGAAACTGTCTATGACTGGCAGGGTGGAGACCAACCAGCTTGTCTCTCCTCACCGGTCAGCGTGAAGCTGATGAGTTTCCGTGGATGTTCAACGCCGACCTGCTCTGCCAGACCTTCCACCTGCAGAGACACAGC